AACCACAAGTGCACACTGCCCTCACAGTGACCCCACGTCTCCCCTTGCTGGAATTCTGCCAGGACTCCCTAACCCTGGCTGTCTTCCCTGGAGTTCAGCCAGCCCCAGCTGGCCTTTCCCCTCTTCCGGCCTGTGCTCCACCTGCTCCCTGGACCAGCCCATGGTAAGAGGCTTATCACACATGTGTAGGGGACAGATAAGGCAGGGCCCCCACACAGGGCTTATCCAGCCCTGCCATCCCTGCTGGGGAGCTGCCAGCAAATGGAGCCCCACCTAGGGCCTGGGGTCGCTCCTTGTGATGTCATAGCTCCTATGATGTCATAATTTGTAGTGACATCATTGCTCTGTCCTTCCTTTGAGTCTGAGAGGGTTACTCAGACAGGAGTTGGAGAAGCGGAGGCAGACAGGAGCCCTACAGAGGCTCCGGGTCAGTGGGCCGGGTTGGGCTGGGCTGGGGGAGCAGATGGTGCCAGAGGATCCTCCCCAGGGCAGATGGCTATTTTCAGTGTTGCCTACTCCGCTTATAGCCACCCCTCTTCCTGTCTTCCCAATCCAAAAAGGCTCTGGGTCCAGCAGGGGCAGAAGCAGTGGGAGAAATCTTTAGCCCTACTGCAGGGCAGCTCTGGGGTCAGCCTCTAGCTCAGGAGGCAGCCTGCTCCTCCCCATAGGGAGGCCTGACCCTCGGTATCTTGGGTCTGAGGGGAAGGGGGACCTTACTTTCTATCCTTGGAATAGCAGTGAGGCAAGGCGGGATTATTAGGATGGCCAGACAGACGGACATAGCCAGACCTGTCATAACAGTCATACACATTGACTTGCTGATGTGGGCTGCGGGCACAGCCTGGCGTCAACACCATCACATTCCAACAGCCATTCATTCTCATAGCCATGCCCACAGCCACACGTGGACCATAGACATATCAGCACAGCCACAATATCACCTGTCCCATCTGGGAGAATAGGAACCCCTTCTCTCTCATGGTTGTACTCCCAGAGAGTAGCTCAATTCCCAGCACATGGCAGATGCACACTAATATTTGGTGAATAAATAAATGGACATTCAATTCCGCAGAGCCTGTGATCAGGCTGGGCTGAGGCCAGAGGAAATGCCATCCCACCTGCAAGCCTGCTCAACTTCTTCAGACCCAGGATGGGAGCATCGAGAAAGAACTACAGCCGCCAGCACCACCCCAGCCCCAACTTCAGTCATGGCCACTCCTCAGATAATAGGCCACTGAAGGGACCCCACTCCCTCCCGCCAGGTACAGTGAATCGGAACACTAGCACTCTGAAAGTGGGGTGTTATGAACATGGGATGGCCTGGATGTTGGGTATCCCAGGCCCCCTGGGAATTGGGTGCTGGAGGCTCTGGGGTTTGGGTCCTCTGCAGTGTTGGGTGCTCTGGCACCCCTGACATTGGAAATTCGGGACTGTGGGAGCTCAAAGCTATTTAAAAGTCTGGGTGATGAAAGCTCTGGAGATTGGGGCTGCCCCCTCAACAAGGCCAAAGTCAATACGTCCTGCCTGCATGCCTGATTTGACCTGGAACCGGGGCTGGGGTGGTAGGGTTGTGAGGGAAGAGAAAACACAACAGGATGGCCTTGGGGGTACATGGAGCCGAAGAGACAGCTCTTGGATCTGGAACCAATCTAACCTGCTCCTCTGCACTGGGACAGGGCAGGGGAGGTGCCAGGCACTGATCACTGGGCTCCAGGTTCGAGAGAGGAGGAATCTAAGAGCAGAGCCCAGGCAGGTACCTCCCAATAATGCTTCCTGGCTACTGAGGCTGGGGCTCTAAGGAGGTGGAGGCCCCTGAACAGGCCTGGCTTCAACTACAGGCAATGTCCATCCTCCCTCACCTTCTCAGCAGGCCCCCAGCACCCCTCCATCAAGGTGCCCAGTGCTGCCAGCTCCTGTGGTGACCACCAGAAGTGGCCCAAGTCTGGCATTACTAGACACATACCTAAGCTGACTCTGTGTGTCCCACAGCAGAGGCCTTGACCCTGCAGGCTGATGACACCATGTGAGGAATCCAGCCAGCCCTGGGGGCTCTGACGCTGGGCGCAGCCCTCCCCAGAAATAGCTCCACTGGCTTTGGTAACTGGAGGCTCCTGAGCCACATCTTAGCCAGCAGTGGGTGAGGCCTGGCCCACTTCTGCCCTGCCCCAGAAAGAAGCAGGCCCACCAAAATGTCTGACTCCATCAGTGCCCCCATCCCCTCCCCGGCCCCAGTCTGTCCTCAGTCCTGATTCCCCTGCTCGCCCCACAGTGGCCAAGGCTGGCCATGCCCTTCCCACCCCGTGGGCCAGCTGCTCAGAGCCAGGAGCGCACAGCCAGGGACGAAGCTATCTCGGCCCTGACCTAGGCTGGGCCCAAACCTGCCTCCTTGGGGCCTCATTCTGATTGGGAAAAAATAACCTCTCTAGTCCCTATCTCAAGGTGATGGCTTTTCTTTCTTTCTTTCTTTTTCTTTTTTTTTTTTTTCACTCAGAAAATGATTTCGTTCCTATTCAGAGATGGCTTTTCAAACCAGAATCTTTCTCACAAGTGTTTCTTCAGGACACAGCTCACCATGCGGTTTCTTGAAGCTCTTTCTGGGTCAAGGTGGGTAAAACACACATATCCATAAATCTGTTTCTGTGTATACAAATAGACTTCGTGCTATGCCAGTGTTAAGTCTAATAAAGCCCTCTGGCCAACATCCCCAATCTCCCTAAACACTCCAAGGAAAATTTTCTCTTCACCCCACGAGCTAAAGTGCTAGGCGCCTCCCTGTCCCCAGGTTGGCCCCCAAGGCTTCCTCTTTCTGATAGAGCCTCAGAGGGCTGGCCCTGAGCACCCCATCCCCCCCTCTTCTTCTAACTGCCCAGGCCCCAAGCCTGAGGTCATTGTGGAAGTCCAGCTCTCAGGACCCTACACCTGCCTCCCTTCATATGGATTCCCTGGGCCATGAAAACTCTCCGAATCTTCACTGAGTGTTCTTAGCACTCAGTGCCCTCTTCTAGGCCTGTCCCCACCCCAGCCTGCAGCTGGAAGGGAGAAGGAGGGAGACCTTTTCCCCCTCATACTCTTTTTGTCTGCCTTCCACTACTTGGGGGCCTCTTCAACAGCCTCCATCTGCCTTCCCTGGGTGGTATCCCTTTTGATGAGCCCCAGGGAGGAAGCAAGGAGGAAGATCCTAAAGGCAATTTACAGAGGGAGTTAAGTACTGGCAGGAGAGATGTGGAGGGTTTGGACCCCATCTGCCCAGTCCCAGGAATCAGGCACACACACAACTACACAGACCTGCAGCAGTGCACACAATCAGTCTTCCACAGATGTACTACACAAATATACAATCAGGGGCTCGGTGTCTGGAGGCACAGACACAACGGGTTGCTCAGGTCCAGCTGTGTGTGCACACACGCACACAAGAAGGGCCTGCACTTGGTTTGTAGGAGAATAAAAATCCCAAACATGCTATACCTACTAGGTTTGGAGACAAAGTAAAAATGAAAACGATCATGCTGATGAGACTAAGGTATCTTCCCAGATCTGATCAGGATTCCAACGTTAAGAGGAGCCAGCAGGGAGCTGTCTTTGTACCCTGGCTCTGAGAAAGGTTTGTGGGATAGACCTCGTGTGGCTCGCATTGCAGGGAACGCCTGGGCTCGATGCCTGTTATCTTGTTCAGTGCCTCTGATTATAAATTAATAAACTGGAATCTCACCAACAATTGGTCTCGTGTAAGTTTGGCATGTGTGCACCCACTTCTTGGAGGCTGACTGTCTCAAGGGAAAAAAATTAAACGTTTCCTGGCCAGAAAATGGTGAGTACTCAGGGTCCAAAGCAGAGACTGCCTCTGCAGGCTGGGCCGTTTCCTGAGCAGATGCCCGTCTCAGGTCGGGGCAAAAACCAGCTCCTCTGACAGTACTAACTGGCCACTTTCCCTGAAAGGTGGTGGCTCTCACAAGGTATGCAAATGTTGGAGCCTCATTCCAAATGCCAGGCACCACTCCCCAGAAGCAACTTGGAGAAATGGGCTTTATATACACACACATGCATTTCCTTAGACTTCTCTCCACTTTGCAAAGCTCCTTTTGGCAAAGACTCCACTCCCAAAGCCCCTTTGGCAAAGACTCCACTCCCAAAGCTCCTTTTGGCAAAGACTTTTTTTTTTTCTTTGAGACAGTCTTGCTCTGTTGCCTAGGCTGGAGTGCAGTAGGGGATCTTGGCTCACTGCAACCTCTGCCTCCCGGGTTCAAGCAATTATCCTGCCTCAGCCTTCTGAGCAGCTGGGACTACAGGCGCACGCCACCACACCCAGTTAATTTTTTTTTTTTTTTTTTTTTTTTTTTTTTTAGTAGAGACAGGGTTTCACCATGTTGGCCAGGCTGGTCTCAAACTCCTGACCTCGTCGTGATCCACTCACCCCTGCCTCCCAAAGTGCTGGGATTACATGCGTAAGCCATCACACCCGGCCTGGCAAAGACTTTTTTTTAAGCTGAGATTGTAACCCAGGTCTGTCTCAACGTAGAAGGAAGACGCAGGTTGGTATCTGCAGCCCCTGTAATACCACCTCAAAAGTAGAGCTGAGCAAGCCAGTGCTCCAGGAGGGAGAAAGGGCTCCCAAGAGCCCGCTCATTCCAAGGAGTAAGACCTAGGCCTTACCCAGCAGTGCCCACGATCTCCAGCTGCTCTGCTCCAAAGGGAATGGAATTTGTTCTGACTTCTCTCTAGGGGGAACGCAGGCGCAGAAGGCCAGGGGACTGGCGGGCTAACTCCAGCCTCAGCCCCCCAAAGTGCCCCAGGCCTTCTGGCTTCATTCCAGCCTAGCCCGAAGGGGACCACATCTGCTAGCTAAAGGGCCCCAGCTGGAGGACAGCGAGGCAGGGGCGGAGAAGGGGACTCCTTTGTGGAGCCCGCTCCCAGGGGTTCGCGGGGATCAATCGTTTGAAAGCTGGAGGGACTTGTAATTTTATTCTCTGGGAGGAGGAGCCTGAGAAGTCGGCACGGGGGGAGGGGATGGGATGGAGGAGGAAGGACGGCCAGGGGAGCTGTACGGGTAGGGGAGGGACTTGGCTAGATCTCCCAAGCCTTCTCCACTCTTCAAACTTTCACCAAACTCTTAGCCCCCGCCTCCTCGAAACCAAAACACAACAGGCTGTGGAAGAGCTGCGGGCGGCGCGGCGGGGCGGGCGGACTCGCGGCGGCACAGAGCCTTGGGAGGCTGATGCAACTTTCCCTTTAAGAAAGCCACCTGGGCGCACCGCGGTGCGGACCCAGCACGCCTGGGCCGGGGGCTGCAGCATGGTAAGGGGGCTGGGGGATGGGGACGCTGCGGCTCGCGCCTCCGTCTGTCCTGCCGTCGGTCTGAGTGTTCGGCGGCTCCACGGGGCTGAGCCCCAGGACCAGCGTGTGCGTGTGTGAGTGTGTGTGATCGCGCATGTATGCGGGCATCTGTGGATAAGAGTGTGGGTGCACGCACCGGGATGTCTGTCTCGCCGCAAAGGTTGGGGTAGGTGCGCGCGTCTGGGTGTCGCCGCTATCACCAAGGAGCTGAAGCGGGAGGGAGAGGGAAGTGGGGGGAGCTCCTGCGTTGGGGTGGAGGGGCGCCAGACGCCGGTTCGATCGGGGGCGGCGGGCGCAGGCTGGGCGGTTAGCGCCGGAGCCAGAGCGTGGCACGGTCCGTCAGGGGCGCCAGGGGTTCTGCGCTCCGGGGGCCTGCGAGGGTCGAGAATCGGCCGTGCCTGCGCCCAGCGTGCGGGCTCCTGCTCGCTCCAACGCCTCTCAGCGCCTGCCAGCCTGGCTGCCTATCTGGCCCCTCCAGCCGGCCTGCCTCCCTATCTGCCCGCCTGGTGCCGGTGCCGGTGCCCGTGCCCGTGCGCCCGCGAGTCCCAGGAAGCCGCGAGGGAGAGTCCTGGCGCACTCAGCCTCTCTTTGTCCGCGGCTCCTGTGGCCGCGGCTTTGGGAAGGGACTGCGAGCGAGCGGGGAGTTCTTTTGGGGCTGCTACCCTGGGAAGAATCCTTGCCCTCCCCACCCCAACCCTCACTACCGGCACGCCTAGGGCGGGCCCGGGCAGCCGCAGGTGAGGGCAGAGGCCTAGCAACCCCGTAGCGCCCAACCCCGGCCAGCGCTCCGCACCCGGCAGCCGCTGCAGATCGCTAGCCGGCGGTGGGGCCCGGCTGGGCGGGAGAGTGGGGTTTGCCCGAGGGCCTGGAGGGGCCGGAGCCGGCCCGGGGGCGGGGCCGCGGGGCGGGGACCTCGGCGCCCGGGTACTTTTCCACCGCAGGGGCCGGGGGCGGGGCCGCCGCCTCCACGCCAGCTTGGGCCCACACGTGGCGGCTGATGTAACGCCCGTGCCCCCACATCTCTCTCCCGATTAACGCGGACGCACCCCGCTTCGAGGAACCGGGACGCTGCGGGCGGTGCCGCAGCTTCGAGAGCGACCGCGCCCCTGCCAGCCGGCCCGGGCCTCCGCGCCGCGGGCCGGCAGATACTTAAAGGAGCCGCACCCCCTTTCGGGCCTGCTCTCGACAAGCCACGCCCCCTCGCGGATCACTCTTAAAGGAGGCGCGACTCCGCTAGCTGACAGCTTCCGCACAAAACACGCTCTGTTTCTCCGTTGGAAGGAGCATGAGGGTGCGGCCGCTGGGAAATAAAGGCTGCGGGGCGAGGAATGGGGAAGGTGAGAAGAACCTGAAAGGTTAAAGACTCCCAAAGTGAGGGAGCATCAGAATGTTGGAGAGTAGTGGGTGAGGGGACTGGTTCTGTGGACTAATGGGCGACACTGAGCATGCCCAAGTGTTTCCAGGGACCGCAAAGAAAACGCCCCCCTTACTTGGCCTGGGCGGCGACTGCGGCTGTACCCGCTCAGTTCCCGGCTCTGGGGACACACAAGAACCACACCTCTGCCCTGGAAAAGCCCTCCATCTAGTGGGGAGCCAGACTTGGGCACAAGCGAGCAAGCCGCAGTGCTACGTGTGGCAAGCGTGCTAATGAGACGTACACAGCGTGGGGCACAGTAGGAAGGCTGACAGGAACGGGGAGGACCTAGGCAGGCTTCATGAAGACGGTACCCTTGGGATAGGTTTTGAGGATGGGTAGGATACATACAGGTGGAAATAGGGACAGGGGTGCTCAAAAAAGAGGGAACGGGTGCCGGGACAAAGGCATGAAGCAGGAGCCCTCTGGAAATGCTGGTTAGTCTCACATGGTGGCAGATGGCCGCAGGTTGCCGATCTGGGCTCCCACGTAGAACTAAGGGCTCTTTTCTGCTCCCACAGCCCCTCCACTTCCTCCATCACAGTGAATGGAAATTATGCGTCTTTCTCTATCTTCTTACTAAACTGTGAGCTCCTTGAAGCCAGGGAAAGAGCCTATCACCTTTCCATCCCCAGTGAGGACTCTAGGCTTGGCCCCAGATGGACGGTTAAAACTGATTGACCTGGCAGTCCTGTCTGACACTCAGCAGTGAGACTGTCAAGATGGGCCAGGGTTCTGTGACTGATATCTCCACATCTGCCTTTGAGTGGCTCACAAGCAGCTCAGACCAGCTTGTCCAACCCAGCCCTTCTGTCCCCGCCCCAAACCTGCACCATCCCCAGCATTCGTCTCTGGGCCGGGCACCGGCTTTCTCCCACTCTACCAGCAGAAACCGGAGACTACTTTTTCCTCCCCTGACCCAGTTCGATTAATCCCCAAGTCTCGTCGTGTTGCCTTGATATTTCTCTGAATCTGTGCACCTCTCCTCACCCTACTGTCACCTTCCTAACCTGAGCTCCCTCGTTTTTGGCCTGGCCCATTTCTAATTGATTTCCTCACTTCCGATTCAGCCTTCCTCCTGTCCTTGCTCCTCACTGTATCTGGGGGGATGGTTTCAAGATGCACATTCCACCAACTGCTCCTCCTTGAAGTTGATCTTCTGCTTAAAAGCTTTCAACAGTCACCCTTGTCCTCAAGATAAAGACCAAAATCCAGACCCTACTTTCATCTTTGACCATTTCTCCCTGGCTGGCTGAGCTCCAGCCTCAGAACCTTTCCACATGTTGTTTCATTTGCTTGCATCTGTCTTCCTCTTCCCTTCCTCTTTATTGCTACTTTGCCTAGTTAACTCCTTTAGACCCTTAATTATCACTTCCTCAGGGAAGACCTCCTGAGTCTCACACAAGGCCAGGCTCCCTATTGTAGAGTGTCATAACACAATCTTTCCCTTTTCCACCCTTTATCTCACTATGCAGTTCTTCATTTTTAAATTTATTTTTATTTTTATTTTTTTTGAGACGGAGGCTCCCACTGTAGTGCAGTTGCGCGATCTCGGCTCATGCAATCTCTGCCTGCTGGGTTCAAGCATTTCTGCCTCAGCCTCCTGAGTAGCTGGGACTACAGGCACGTGCCACCACACCCAGCCAATTTTTTTGTATTTTTAGTAGAGACGGGGTTTCACCATGTTGGCCAGGATGGTCTCAATCTTCTGATCTAGTGATCCACCTGCCTTGGCCTCCCAAAGTGCTGGGATTACAGACATGAGCCACTGCGCTTAGCCTATTTTTTTAGTTTTTTAGACAGAATTTTGCTCTTTTTGCCCAGGCTGGGGTGCAATGGCGCGATCTCGGCTCACTGCAACCTCTGCCTCCCGGGTTCAAGTGATTCTCCTGCCTCATCCTCCCAGGTAGCTGGGATTATAGGTGCCCACCACCACGCCCAGCTTATTTTGTATTTTTAGTAGAGACGGGGCTTCACCATGTTGGTCAGGCTGGTCTCAAATTCCTGGCCTCAGGTGATCCACCCGCCTCAGCCTCCCAAAGTGCTAGGATTATAGGCATGAGCCACTGCGCCTGGCCTTAGTCTGTAATTATTTAAATTTTAGTCATCAGTTTATTTTTTGTTTGTTTTTGTTTTTAGAAAGAAAAAAAGAATAATAAGAAAAAGAATAAAGAAGAGGAAGAAAGAGAAAGAGAAAGAGGGAGAGAGGATGGGGGTATTGCTTTGCCCTGGCTAGAATGCAGTCTAAATATGGGTATGCCTATAATTGTCCTTAATAATGGAGACATGAAAGAAAATGAGGGAAGAGAGTAACAAACAAGGAGCCAACCAACATTTCATTTAAACTTCTAAGTTGATATGATGTGGTACTGATAAGAGTGTATATTTTGTGTAAAGTGGAGAGTTCTATAAATGTTAATTACGTTTACTTGTTCCAGATCTGAGTTCAAGTCCTGGATATCGTTGTTAATTTTCTGTCTCATTGATCTGTCTAATATTAATGTTGAAGTCTCCCACTATTATTGTGTGGGAGTCTAAGTCTCTTTATAAGTCTTGTATGTCTGGGTATTCCTGTATTGGGTGCGTATATATTTAGGATCTTTAACTCTTCTTGTTGTTGCGTTGATTCTTTTATCATTATATAATGTCCTTCTTTGCTTCTTTTGATCTTTGTCGCTTTAAAGACTATTTTATCAGAGGCAAAAATTGTAACTTCTGCTTTTTATTTATTTATTTTTGCTCTCTGGTTAGTTGGTAAGTCTCTTTCCATCCTTTGTTTTGAGTCTTTGTGTATCCTTGAATGTGAGATGGGTCTGGATGCAGCATACAGTTTTAGTTTTTTGTCCAAATTGCCTGTCTGTCTTTGAATTGGGGAATTTAGTCAATTTAAATTTAGAATTAATAATGATATATGTGAGTTTAATACTGCCATTTAATATTAGCTGGCTATTTTGCCCATTAGTTGATGTAAATTCTTCATTATATTGATGTTCTTTACTTTTTGGTATTTTTTTAGAAAGGCTGATACTGTTTGTTCCTTTCTATGTGTAGTGGTTCTTTCAGAAGCTCTTGTAAAGCAGGCCTGGTGGTGATGAAATCTGAGTGCTTGCTTGTTCACAAAAAACTTTATTTTTCCTTCACTTATGAAGCTTAGTTTGGCTGGATATGAAATTCTTGGTTGAAAGTTCTTTTCTTTAAGGATGTTGAATATTGGTCCCCACTCTTTTCTGGCTTGTAGGGTTTCTGCTGAGAGATCTGCTGTAAGTCTGATAGGCTTCCCTTTGTGGGTAACCTGACCTTTCTCTCTGGCTGCCCTTAGTATTTTCTCCTTCACTTCAACCCTGGTGAATCTGACGATTATGTGCCTTGGAGTTGCTCTTCTTGAGGAATATCTTTGTGGTGTTCTCTGTATTACCTGGAGTTGAATATTATCCTGCCTTACTAAGTTGGGAAAATTTTCTTGAATAATATCCTGAAGCATATTTTCCAGCTTGGATTCATTCTCTTCGTCACTTTCAGGTACACCTATCAAGCGTAGATTAGGTCTTTTCACATAGTCCCATATTTCTTGGAGACTTTGCTCGTTCCTTTTTATTCTTTTTTCTCTAATCTTGTCTACTTGTTTTATTTCACTGAGTTGGTCTTCGACCTCTGATATCCTTTCTTCTGCTTGATCAATTTGGCTGTTAAAACTTGTGCATACTTCACGTAGTTCTCTTATTGTGTTTTTCAGCACCATCAATTCACTTATTTTCCTCTCTAAATTTTGTATTCTTGTTGACATTTCGTCAAACCTTTTTTCAAAGTTCTTAGTTTCTTTAGATTGTGTTAGAACAAGTTCTTTTAATTCACAGAAGTTTCTTATTATCCACATTTTGAAGCCTGCTTCTGTAATTGGAACACACTCATTCTCCATCAAGCCTTGTTTCGTTGCTGATGAGGAACTGGGATCCCCTGCTGAGGAAGAGGCGTTCTGATCTTGGGTATTCTCAGCCTTTTTTGACTGTTTTCTTCCCTTCGTTGTAGATTTATCCATCTGTGGTCTTTATAATTACCGTCTTTGTAATTGGGTTTCTGAGTGGACGTCCAACTTATTGATTCTCAGCGCCGAAATCTGAGCAACCCACTGCGCCGACTAAATCAGCGGCGTTAAGATTGATGGTGCTTTTCTGACTGCACCAAGAACCGATGCTCTGAGGCGCCGGCAAAACCGCCTCGCCGGTCACAAGAGTAGTGCTGGCGACCCGTGGGGCTCCTCCGCTGGGAATCTCCTGGTGCGTGAGCAACAAGAACTCATGTGAAGGTGCGGTGTCCTCTCGTTCTTTGCGTTTTCACTGAGAGCTACAATCCCGAGCTGCTAGTGATCAGCCATCTTGGATCTCTCTTAGTCATCAGTTTAACTCTCTCCCCTTAGTCTGTAAGCTGCAGGAGTGCAGAGAACTTTGAGTTCTTGGTGCCTAGCACAGGTCTGGCCCAGAGCAGACCTGCAATCAATATTGTGGAATACATGAGTCTAGCTGTGGCTAGCTGTAAACACCTGCTAAGCTATTTAGGCCATATCCTGTTGGCTATGGAAAACCATTGGAGGGAGTCAGGGATTTAGGGCTTTGGGAAGATTAACATATTGGAGGGGAGGAACATGTGGAGGGCTTGTGGTAAGGATAAAAATTAGGCAGAAATGTCAGAACTTACCAGGAAATTACTGTTAGCCCCATCTTCCAGATTGAGAAGACTAAGGCTCAAAGTAGCTTATTTGAAATCACATATGTAGTGAGTAGCTGAGCCAGAAATCCAGCCCAGGCCTACCAGATCCCAGAGTTCAAGCTCTTTATCGTGTGCTAAACTGCCTCTGTGACCCACTGCTGCTTGTCAGCGGTGGTCCACAAATGGTCCAGGGCCTGGACATCATGGGCATTCAGTTGATGTTTTCCGAATGGACAGTTGAGGCCGTGTAACAGAAATGTCAAAGGCAGAAGCAGCAAAGCTTTACACTCAGCTCATTCTCCTCGTTTTCCCTCCACCCGAGGGCAGGGACTGCATTTGCAGTCAGAGATGTTGGGTCTGAAAACCCAGTTGGAGTCCTCACTCGAGCACTTACAAGGAAGGCATTTGACCTCTCTTAAGTCTGTCTCTCCAACTGCACACTAAGAGGAATTCCAGGATAACCTGGGTGAGGGCACTCTGCAGCCTAAGTTCCAAGACACAGTGTCCTCAGTTTATTTACCTGATCAGTGGGCATAATAATTTCCAACCCACGACATGGCTCATGGCTCTTCTTTTTTTTAGACAGAGTCTCACTCTGCTGCCTAGGCTGGAATGCAGTGGTGTGATCTCGGCTCACTGTAACCTCCGTCTCCTGGGCTCAAGTGATTCTCCAGTCTCAGCCACCCGAGTAGCTGGGACTATAGGCACATACGACCATGCCTGGCTAATTTTTGTATTTTTAGTAGATAGGGGGTTTCACCATATTGGTCAAGCTGGTCTCAAACTCCTGACCTCAGGTGATCCACCTGCCTCGGCCTCCCAAAGTGCTGGGATTACAGGCGTGAGCCACTGCACCTGGCTTACATGGCTTTTTCTTGTGCCATCTGCTATTATTACTATCATCATTGTCATTATTAGTCCTTAACTGAAGAGAGGTGGTTTTAAGGAAGTCGAATCTAGAGTTTACAGCTGGAGAGGGAGGCACAGGGTAAGTGAGAAGGACAAAGGTATGATCTCCTTTTGAGGGAGCACACCCTCCTCTGCCAGAAGACTAAAGCCATGAGGAGGAACTTCTTTAGGAGGACAAGTTGAGCCACAGGCCAGCCTGGGTCACATCTTGTACCCACCCTGCCCTGAAGAGAAGCTTTGCAGGAGGCCAGGCAGCCAGGGCCAGGGCCTACAAAAGCCGAGGGCTGGTTTGCATAGGCAAAGGGTGTCCTCCTCATCTCTCCTCCAGCCTTCCAGAGACTTCCTGGGTGAGTAGGTGAGAGGTGGCCTTTAACAGGTGGCTGTGGGTGGAGCAGAGTTGCCCAGAGTAGCCTTGAGAGCAGAGTCAGCTTCCTGGGAAGGCAGGAAAGGCTCCAGAGAGGCAGAGCTGAATCCTTCCTGGGTCCAGGCCCTGGGGAGTGGTTTCCTCGGATGAGACAGCTCTTTAAGGCTCTCTGAAGATGGATTCCTCCTGAGGCCTGTCAAAAACTAACCTTTAGGCCGGGCGCTGTGGTCACGCCTGTAATCCCAGCACTTTGGGAGGCCAAGGTGGGCGAGTCACAAGATCAAGTGTTCGAGACCAGCCTGGCCAATATGGTGAAACCCTGTCTCTACTAAAAATATAAAAATTAGCTGGGCATGCTGGCAGGTGCCTGTAGTCTCAGCTACTTGGGAGGCCAAGGCAGGAGAATCATTTGAACCTGGGAAGCAGAGGTTGCAGTGAGCCGAGATCCCGCCATTGCACTCCAGCCTGGACGACAGAGGAAGACTCTTAACCTTTCTTCCATCCCATCTGACATTAAGCCAGTGCACACCAGCGTCGCCACAAGCTGCTCCTTCTACATGGCTGCTGCCTCGCAGCTCTCCAGCCCCACTTTGCCCCTCAGATGCTTCCTATAAGATCCTGGGCTGGCCTGGACCCCTCATTCCAGAGGCCCTGCCTTTGCTGTTTCCCTCCATTTCAACTCAACTAACACTTCTTTTTTTTTTTTTGAGACGGAGTTTCACTCTTGTTACCCAGGCTGGAGTGCAATGGCGCGATCTCGGCTCACTGCAACCTCCGCCTCCTGGGTTCAGGCAATTCTCCTGCCTCAGCCTCCTGAGTAGCTGGGACTACAGGCACATGCCACCACGCCCAGCTAATTTTTTTGTATTTTTAGTAGAGACGGGGTTTCACCATGTTGACCAGGATGGTCTCGATCTCTTGACCTTGTGATCCACCCACCTCGGCCTCCCAAAGTGCTGGGATTACAGGCTTGAGCCACCGCGCCCGGCAACTAACACTTCTTGCAAGCCCAGTGCTGTGCTACGTGCTGGGCACAGCAGGTAAAAGAAACACAGTCCCAAGCCCTCGGGAAACTCATTGACTCATGGTTGACAAACTCATAAGCAAATAAGTGTCATATGAAATAAGAATACTGGTAGAAATTTGCACAAAACAGAAAGGAGGAAGCATCTTTTTCATTATTTTGAGAGAGAGAGAGTCAGAAAAGGCTGCAGAGAAGAGATGGCATTTAGCCCAGTGTGCTCCTGAGGATGTATAGAATTTCACCTGGTGAACTGCTGTGGAGGGTGCAGCTGGGAGTGCAAGGAGGTATGGTTACACAGGGGTGTGTGGCAGGCCCAGAGCTCAGTCCAAGTGAATGACATGACAGCGAGCCCAGCTGCCCTGGAGCCCACACTGAGTGGCACCCAGATGGGGAAGGACCGTCCTGGCTGCCTGGCTGGGGTGAGGATGGGGAGAGTGTGCTGATCTGAGCTGATTCCCCTCCTGGGGAAAGGCTGAAGCCATTCACACAGACCATGAAGGAATTGGACTCCATCCCAGTTCGGTATTCATTTTTTATCTTTTATAGGATTGGGCATCTGGAGAGTCAAAAATAGACCTTTGCCCGTTGGGACAGGCAGGAAGCCTGGAGATCAAGAGATCCAGGGGAAGGGTTGGGGGGACCGGGAAGGGGCTGGATCTAAGGGTCTTCCAGGAAGACACGGGATGCAGACACGGCCTGCCAGAGGGCCTGGGCCAACTGGTAGTGGGTGGCTCTGCACCACCTGTTTGGAGAGCCCTGTGGGCCACACAGACAGGTCCTCACCTCACCCTCTGTTGTCTCCACAGCTCTTGAGGTCTGTGGTCTGAAAAGCACTGGAAGCAGAGCCTGTGAGTGTGGTCCCCATCTCCAGAGCCACAACCCACCGCCGCCATGGTAGGAAAAGGTGCCAAAGGGATGCTGGTGAGTACAGGGGCCAGACTGTGGGGAGGAAGGGGGATCCCAAGCACTGCCCCTGGGACCTCCTGCCAGCTGCTCGCCATGATGGGAAGGCTTAGGAAGGCCAGCACTGCCAGGGCTCCTGAGTGCACAGCTGACCCAGGCCTGGGCAGATAGCCCCTCATCCAGTAGGTCAGAGGGCATCAGGCTCCGAGCCCACAGAGCCCGCCAAGGCTGGCCACAAGGCAGGCGTCATGTTCCACCTTGTCACAACCTTGTCACAGAGGTGCTCCTGAGAGAAGGGTGCAGCCCACCTGCCGAGAGGACAGTGGAACGCGGGGCTCGCGGGCGGCTTCAGTCTGTGCTGATCAAGGGTCTTCAGACCCTGCCTGGTTTTTCTCTACTTCTCTGAGTCCTTCTCAATCTGAAAAGTAACCAAGAACATTTTGTTTTGAATCTTCTCCCGAAGCTTCTCAGAAAATCTCCCTCCACCCTTTCCCCAAGTCTTGGCTCTTCTTTGCCCTCAGCCTTAGAGCACAGGAGAGGTGAGGCCATGCGACACAGGGGCTGGGTGAGGTTCTTTTTATTTATTTTTATTTTTTTGAGACCAAGTCTTACCTCTGTTGCCCAGGCTGGAGTCCAGTGGCGTGTTCTCAGCTCACTGCAACCTCTGCCTCCCAGGTTCAAGCGATTCTCATGCCTCAGCCTCCTGAGTAGCTGGGATTACAGGCATGAGCCACCATACCTGGCTAATTTTGTATTTTTTAGTAGAGACCGGTTTTCACCATGTTGGCCGGGCTGACCTCAGGTGACCTGGTGGCCTCCCAAAGTGCTGGGATTACAGGCCTGAGCCACCTCCCCTGGCCTGGGTGAGGTTTTTGAAGGAGCAAGACTCACTGATGGATGGGGCAGGTCAGCACCAGCACCAGGAGCAGGAAGCAGAAAAGATGCCAGATCCTGTTCCAGACGCAATGGTTGTCTTCCTTCTCTTGAGATCTTGCCTTGGGGACAGGCTAGACTGACGGCTCTCAGCGACGGGGACCAGGGACTGAGCGTGAACATGTCCCTCCCTCAGCAGCTCCGATCCTATCAATTCCCTGTGTTGCTTTTCTCATTTAGTGAAAGATTGATTGGCCTGAGCCCTCCTAGACAAGCCCTGTCTCTCACCAAAGATTTCTGGGACTCAAAGTACCTGGTTCAAAAGAACAGTCTGGGCTGGGTGCGATGGCTCACACCTGTAATCCCAGTACTTTGGGAGGCTGAGGCAGGCGGATCACCTGAGATTAGTAGCTTGAGACCAGCCTGACAAAACATGGTGAAACCCCATCTCTACTAAAAATACAAAAATTGGCTGGATGTGGTGCGTGTGCACCTGTAATCCCAGATACTTGGGAGGCTGTGGCAGGAAGATCACTTGAACCGGGAGGCAGAGGTTGCAGTGAGCTGAGATCGCACTACCGCACTCTCGCCTGGACGACAGAGCAGAACTCTATCCAAAAAAAAAAAGGCTGGGTATGGTGGCTTACACCCGTAATCCCAGGACTTTGGGAGGCTGAGGCAGGCAGATCTCAATCTGAGGTCAAGAGATTGAGACCATCCTGATCAACATGGTGAAATCCCATCTCTACTAAAAACACAAAAATTAGCTGGGTGTGGTAGTGCCCACCTGTAGTCCCAGCTACTTAGGAGGCTGAGGCAGGAAAATTGCTTGAACCCGGGAGGCGGACGTTGTGGTGAGCCGAGATCGTGACATTGCACTCCAGTCTGGGCAATGTGAGCGAAACTCCGTCTCAAAAAAAAAAAAAAAAAAAAAGCAGCTTGTGTTTTGAGCAGAACTGGCCATTTTGCTCCAGGCTTGGGATCTTCTATCTGGCCTTATCTGAACCTCCAGCATCCAACCCCTGGCCCCATTCCTCAGGCCAGCTCTGATCTAGCCCCCTACTGACTGGAGCAAATCTGAATGAGCCAAGCTCCTGAAAGTATTCCTGAGATTCCTGAAATCTGGGTGCACAGAGATGGGCCCAGATGGAGGTCTTATGACCTGAACGCTTGCTAGGGGTGAATCCCATCTTAGAACCCAAACATGGCCCCACCTTTCCTGAAGAAGTCTTGGAATTGCCATGGGCTTGTGCTAGGAAGCGGAATGTGGCTCTGCCCCTTCCTACCATGGAGATTCTGATCCCCATGAAACCTCTGAGTACTCCCTGGTTGCTCTTCCTTCTCTGGAGTGACCTGGAAGGACTGGGAGGGCAGGCAGGGGAGATGTGAGCAGACAGAGGGCCTGAATCCCAGTGTCCCAGAGTCCCTGCCTGAGCTGAGCTTCCCCGACTGTGCTCTGCTGGTCGGCCTGGCCAGCCTGCCTGCTGATGGGAATGCTGCCTTGGGACTCCCGTTCCCAGCACCAGGATGTGCCTAAAGATAGCTGGGGCTCACTCTCCTCCCCGCTCTCTGCCCTTTGGCTTTTGCCCACTGTTGCTGTATTTGAGGCTCATAGCATCTGTCCCATGGGCACCCCCAGTGGTTGCTTGGAGATTCTATTCTTGCCTCCTATTCAGTTCTGCTGGTGACCTGGGACTACTCCACTCTATTCTTGGGTCCCAGTTTGGGCCTGAAGCCACCTCCGTTCAGTGCTTGTCTCTAGACACAGCCTCTGAGGTGCATGGGGCAGCTGGTCCTGGCCAAGCCCCATCTCTGCTAACACAGGCAGCTTAGTCAGCATGTTTGTATCTTCTGTGTCTTCCTACGGCCAGAGGCTAAGGAAGCTTCGTTCTGATAGGGTTCTTCTTTGGATGCCCTGGTAGATCAAAAGAGGATGCTGAGGGGCGTGCATGTAAGCCAGGCACTTGGACCCTCCCAGTTCTCTGTGGCTTCTTTCTGCTGCTCTGTTTGTGCCCTGGCATGCATGGAGCAGGCACTGGTCCCTACCATGAGATCTTCACTTCTCTCCCCCTATACCCAGGTTTGGTTGTGAGGACACTGGCCCTCCAAGTCTCTTCAGTGTCGGCTGACACCCTGTGTTACCCTTGGAGCTTCTGCTGGGTGCCACAGCCAGGGGTAGCAAGCAGCTTCCCAGCATGTGCCCAGGCCCACATGCCCACTGCACGTGTCCCTCCCCCCCTCCCAGCCCAGATGGTCTCTGCCAGGCCAGCTCAGCTGCCTCCCTCACGCCTCAGCAGCTCCTAGGACAGGGCTGTGTGAGAACCCAGCTGGCCAGGGTGCCTCCAAGCCTGGGAGCAGCTGGGATGCTTGGGGGCACTGGGAGTACATAGGGTGGTCCTTCCATGGAGACCTAGTGCCTCGTACACGTGCGAGGCAGGGCCATCTAGGTCTCAAAGGACAAGGGGCTGGAAGAGAGGGACCCAGGACAGGAGGCAAGAGAGCCCCCACTGGCTCAATGTCACGCCGTTTCCCAGGCTGGCCACCTCAGTCCCTCCGTAGCACCACTATGCACTCCTGCAGAGTCTTGGGCAGTCCAGGCCTTGGTGAGCTTCTTTGACCCCTTCCCATGTCTGAGCATGCTGATTGTTTCTGCCACAAGAAGGCCTCACAAGGAACAGGAACAGACTCATTTGGGCTAGGGCTCTGGGTGCCAGAGCATCCAAATCCAAGAAGGCCTTGCAAACACCACAGGCTGCCAGGGGCTGCCCTGCCCCGACCTGTTCTCATAAGTTTTGCCCCAAGGATGTGGACACCTCCTGTCTGTAGCATCCGTCACCTGGCACATAGTGGGTACTCACCCATCCCAAGTGTTGGCATGTAGCAAGTGCTCAACTAGTACAGGCTTGGCGCATTATTGGGAGGTCACCAAGCACAGGGCTTGGCAAGCCTTGGGCACTCCCTTGGTAGAGGGCCTGTCCCTGCCTGGGCACTCACCTAACCCAAGTCTTAGCATGTGGTAAATGCTTAACTAGTGCAGACTTGGCACACATTAGACACTCCCTTAGTAGAGAGCCTGTCACGCTGCAGGCACTCATTAGCACACTGCTAGGCACACAGTGGGTGCTCACTCAGGTCAGAGCTGGGCATACATGGATCCTTACCTGGCGCAGTATCCAGCATACCTGGGGTACTCCCCTGGTGCAGGACCTAGCACACCACAGGGGCTCCCAGGCTGGGGCTGACACACAATGGGTGCTGTCTCGGCATGTGACTCAGCACGCAGTGGGCACTCTGTGGATCCAGGTTCTTGCACACAACAGGTGCTTCCATCACAAGATTTGACATCTAATAAGTGCTGTCCCAGCTCAGGGAGTGGCACACAGTGGGCATTCTCGTTAGATAAGGCCTAGCACAGCGGAGGTACTCTTCTAGCCAGTACAGCCTAAGCAGTGTGACCTTCTGCTGATCGTAGATTAGCCGCTACCCACTCCCCAGTGAAATGGACAATATCTAGATCCAGAGGAAAAGGCCCAGCCTTCCTCAGCCTCCTCTCTGTTGGGGGCCCTGCCCTCTCTCTCCCGTCCCACCTCCTCTCTAGCCCACCTACTCCACCCTGTCGCCTGGCCTCCCACACAGCCTTCCTGCAGCCCTCCGCCATCCCTGGCACTTCTCAGTCTCAGCTCAGCGGGACATTCCCTCCAGAGTCACAGGGGACAACAAAGCCCCTAGACTCCTTGCCCCTCTGGAAGCATGCCCACTCTTATTAGGAGAAGTCAGAGGCGGGAGCTAGGGGAGTCGGCCTCCCTAAGTGGGGCTAGAGCAGCTGGATCTCGCTAATGAGGCCTCATTACGACCAGGGCCCAGCTGGGCTGCTGCCGCCTCCTGTCCCCACGGCCAGAGCCAGGGAAAGCCATCCAGCCAGGGCTGCCTGTTCTGGGCACCCAGCCCAGGCCAGGGCGGCCAGAGCCCAGAGCCCACCCTGGGTGGAAGTGAGCATTTGGGCATCATGGGTGACTGGACCTTCCTGGAGCCACTGGCCCAGCCAGCACCTTGGCCCTCAGTCTGCTCCCGCAGGAAGTCAGGGGAGTGTGTCTGGGGACCAGGCGCATAAGGCTGGCTCAGTGAGCAGCTGAGTCAGTAGGATC